CAGGAGTAATTTATCAAATATTTCTCCAAGGAAACCATTGTATCTGCTTGTTTTAGCAATCCTTGTTATTATTATTTTAAACCTAAGTCGTTGATTAGAAGTTTGTGAGTAAAGGACTTCAATATAAAATGGCGGTTGGATTACCATTTTATTTCTTCAAGTGCAATCATCATTCCCAATCATAATTCAACATGCAACTAACTAGACAACTAGTAAGTGCTTAGACACCCAAGTTTTGTAACTTTTTGTAAAAGAATAGTGCTATGCATTTTATTTTTCTAAGCGAAATCCCACATAATCAGCTAACTAGTACATGTTGATGCCGATATTCAAGGAGAGGATGCAAATTAAAGAGTCTATACAAGGTGAGGCAACAGAAGAATAAGACTAAAAATAAGGAACTACATAAATAAATAGATTTAAAAAGATAATCAAAACCCTAAGCCACTTTTTATCTCATTGGGATAATTGACCGCCCTAATTTGTCCTTATTCACGTTATGAGCCTTTCACTTCAAACGTCTCCAATCTACTTCCATGTGTGGCTCAAATTACGCGTTAATCAAACCATTGTTAACATTCAAGAGCAGCAAAAATAGACAATTCAGAAGCCCTTGGTACTCTTAAATTTCTCAGTTGATCCACCAATCCTAGTACTCTCTCTGCACAAATCAAAAATCTTGATTCGCACACACAAACACTCTGATATGAATGATCAAGGGGCTGGCACCAGGCAAGGAGTACAAGATCATCATGATGATCATGGTGAAGATGAGCAGAACATCAGGGACATCCATGCCTTGACACCGCCTCGCCTGCCGCCTCCCGCCAATGGCGGCGGCCGCAGAAGAGAAGCTTGGGAAACCAGTAGCCAAACATCTTTGTCCATGGCCAGTGCTGAATTAGGAACAGCTTCAAGTGAGAACTTCACCACCATGAGTAGAGAGTTCAGTGCTTTAGTAGTTGCTGGGTCGGCAATCGGGACAAATAATAGCACCACAAATGATAGTGACTATAATACTATGATTAATCAAGGGAACAATAATTTGGGTAGGATCGGAGAGGAGGACAATAATATGCATGAGCAGGAGCTGGAGAGCAACCATTTGGCTATAGTCCCGGATAATTACAACCATTTGGACCCAATTACCTACTCTCCAAGGAATAGTCAGGCTAATAACCATATTGGGTCTTCATCAAGCACGGTTAGGACTCGGGATCACCAAGAAGGCGGCGGCGGCGATCAGATGGTTTCGGTGGATCGGGTGAAGAAGGAAGAGGTTGAAACAAAGATATCGGCTTGGCAAAACAACAAGATTGCCAAGCTTAATAACAGGTTTAAGAGGGAGGATGCTATTATTAATGGGTGGGAAAGTGAGCAGGTTCAGAAAGCTTCTTTATGGATGAAGAAAGTTGAGGTACGTTGCCAAAAAACTGATTTGGATAGTGATATTTTTGTGCATGCTGGAAAAATTGATTTCCCATGATGGTTTCTCTGACTAGTTGAAACTAGGATGATTTACCACTTGACTTCATACTATTTACCGTCCAATTATTCTTGAGAAATTGGCCGAAATTATTATTTTTCAAATCCCGTCAGTATTTAGCATCTTGCCGATATGTGGTCTCTATATTGTCAATATTTGATCATTAGCGTCAGTATTTGATTTTGATCAGTTCAGTAATTGAGATTTGATTTCTGATCGTTTTAGCCAATTTTTCAGTGTTCTTTTAGGATGCCATAATGAAAAATTTAATCATGACCATGATCATCGTCTATCATATTCATTATCATCATCTTATGAACAATATTTGGACGTTGAAGCATCTCTATTTCGTGAAACTAAATTGTCTTAATAATATTTTTATCCTTGCCAATGTTTCAAATCACGATCAAACAACTAGTCATAATCGGGATCGTTAAACAGTGATAACTTTAATAATAAAGATGTTCCATCTTTTTCATCGTCTTATGGCATACAAGGCCTTTGAAGCTTCTTTGGGGAAGCTGGCCAAATTGATTGCTTTTTCACATCTCTTGTCGAAATGACAAATTTTTTTATTAATGTAGTCAATCTTTGATCGTTATGTCATTGAATTTGATAGTTTAGCAAGTGTAATTTGATTTATGATAATTTTAGCCAATTTTCTATGTTTTTTTTTCTTTTTATTCGTGTCTCTTTTTTCCGCGAATTTTAGTAGAAAATGTGAAGATGAATAATCGTTATAACACCACATATATCATCTAATGAATGTGCGGATGCAGAGGAAGTTGGAGGAGAAAAGAGCAAGAGCCCTAGAGAAGATGCAAAACGACATAGCCAAAGCACATAGGAAAGCAGAGGAGAGGAAGGCATCGGCAGAGGCTAAAAGGGGAACGAAGGTGGCTAGGGTTCTTGAAATTGCCAATCTAATGAGAGCTGTCGGAAGAGCACCTGCCAAAAAGTCCTTCTTTTAGCCCCCTTACCATCGGAATATTCCAAATTCCATGCCCAGAAACAAACCACCACCCCCAAAAGGGAAAATAATTAGGGAAAATAAGTGCCCCATAATCCTCGTATACAATGGCCTTTCCCTTTTGAACAAAGGCACCCCTGTAAGAAATAGGGCACTGAAGTCAAAGAAATCTAGCAACTATAAATTTTGAGTGCTTTTGGTTGATGCGTATTTTTTTTAGTGTGGCAAGTGTGCTGGGATGTTGGGATGGATTTGTTAGTGAAACGACGTCGAGCCTTGTACAGTTTTCTTATTCTTGGGCAGGACTCGGGAGTTTTTAAGTGTTTGATGTCGTACTACATATAATTTCCTAAGCGTAATTTGGTGTATTTTATTTTCCAATTATGGAATGGAATGATAATTTGCACTAATTTCGTATTCCCGAGCCTAATAGCTTGGGCTTGTGAGTTTGTGAGTTTGTGAGTTGTGTTGTGTCTAAGCAAGTATAAAAGTCATAGATTATTTGAAGGATAATGCATGTGTCCTCCATGAGGGACTTGTCATCCCGCTTACAATTAACGAACATTTGCCGTTTGAATATCATAATCGGAAAATCAGAACTGTTCAAGTATGAATATCATAACCGGAACCGTTTATTCTATTTATCATCACCTAAAGATTATATCTGCAAAAAAAAAAAATCATTTAATTTGAAGACCATTTAGTCATCCATATGTGTTAAACAAATCAACGGTTTTAGTGACAAGTAACATCCTCATGATGATCCGTCCATTTGTTTTAGCATATGGATGGCTAAAAAATCGTCAAATTGAACAATTTTTTGCATAAATGATCTTCAGATGATGAAAAAGAAAATGAACGATTCCGATTATAACGTCGGGATAGTAAATGTTTGTTAATCATAAGTGGGAAGATTCAAATCCAATCAGAAGACCAAAAAGAAATGGCGACGTCCTTAACCTAATCAACCGAACTTTTTACAGACAGGCCTGAAGGTGCCTTCTGACCTAGGACGTTTTGGTACCTACATACTTTATAATCCTCTATTACAATAAGGACTTTAAGCACCCACAGAATACTTTTTGAGTCAAAATAAATAAATGAAAGTTTGCTGAGTGCCTGGAATTACGACATACTGTACAAGCATGACTGCACACATACTGTACAAGCATGAATGCACTTCTGTTAATAAAAATGCAACACCAGCTTCAAAAGCAAAAGAAAAAGATTTTAACAGTATAAAGCATTATGTCTTCAGTCCATGACAACGAGCCTGGACCATTTAGTATTCTCCAATGTGTTAACAATGTCCAAAGTTTCGAAACTCTGAAAATGATGTATCACCAACATTCAACGTATTATTTGTTTAGTACAAAAAAGGCCAACAAGAAAGATATTTCCCTACAAGGTTCAAACAAAGAAGATCTTCAAAAATCTCCCTTTCGAGGTTGCACTGCATTGAAAAGACTTTCTTGCATTGGCCCCCATTTCATCTTTATGACTAGGAGTTCATGGCTCTACGTTTTGGCTAACAAAAAGGCAAGATAGATGCTTCCTATTTGTGTAGTATGCACTAAAGCAGATTATAACTCTCACACCGAAAGATAGAAGTAGCTCTTCTATTTCGATCATTTTATTGAATACAAAGTTTGAACTTTCAAACTTTCAATTTGAGATTTGGCTTTTTAGCCAAAATGGTCCCTGAGATTGGCATAACTCTTCACTTTGGTTCTTGAGATTTGATATCAATAGAAGTGGTTCATGAGGTTGTCTACCATCAATCATTTTGGTCTTTATGTGCAAAAACTATGTTAGATAGGACCAAAACGATAAATACCCTCATTAATAAACAATTGGCCAAAATGATTTGACAAATTTTGAGGGTATTTTTGTCATTGTGGTCATATTTAACAGAGATTTTTCACAGAATGACCAAAATGATTGACAGTGGACAAACTCAGGACCACTCTATCGAGTTCAAATCTCAGGGACCAATGAAGAGTTATGCTAATCTCAAAGACTATTTTGGATAAAAAGCCTAGAGATTTTTATCTCACAACCAACAAGAAAATGCAAAAATACCAAAGTCTGCACAGGTAAACAAAACAGATTACTTCTCTAATAGGGCCTGAACATTGCCACACACCGGGATCTCTAATCGAAATTCAGGTACCATTTACAAGACAAAATTGTGTGTATTAAGATATGGCATGTGTTTATTTACATAATGCCATCACAATGTTGAACTTTTACAATCAAGCAGTGGATGATATATTCATATGTTAGCTTGCATTCTCTTACTAATCTTATCCTCATGTCGTATTACAGAAAATCAAAACGTAAGCACATTCCATGTCCGTTTCAAGAAAAAGAGGACCACTTACAGAAATGGAAGCTCCTTGACTGATACCCTGCATCTCCATTGATATCTCCATCTAAGAGAAGCGATCAAGTTGCACGTGCTTCATGAGCAATGAATTGTACGAGTTATATTTGCGGAAAATCTCAAAGGAAGAAGACGACTGATATGTTAATACGCAGATATCAAATCTCAAATCAGATGGAGATCACATCTATCATTACGGTTTTTTTTATTAAAACCTTTAATAGATCGAGTTCTGCATAAATTTCAGTACTTTTTGGATGGTCCATATGACTTGCAACAAAATAATGAAATCTATTACCAACTTCAATCCAACTGCATCCTGCTTCTTTATTCATTTTCAAGTCATTCATAAGGGTTCGAACCTTTGCAGCCTCATCAAACACTCCTCCTCGAGCATACATATTTGAAACAAGTATGTAAGACCCAGCCTCTTCAGGTTGCAAGTCAAGCAAACGTTTTGAGGCTAACATGCCATAATTCAAATTCACATTGACTAAAGTTCTCCAAAGCAAAGGTGAATCTGGAAATGGACTTTTGTTGATGAAATCGATGGCTTCTGAAAAATTCCCAGACCGACCCAGAAGATCCACCGTGCATACAAAGTGCTCAATTCCTGACTTAGTTCCATACTTTGGCTCCATTTCATTGAATAAGCGTAACCCAGTTTCCCATAGTCCAGCGTAATTGCAAGCTTGAAGAGTAGCCAATAACGTGATCTCATCTGGGGCAAATCCTACTTCCTTCATGGATTTAAAAAGTGAAAGTACTTTGTTGCCTTCTCCATGAAGGGCATGCGCCGAAATTATGGGGTTCCAGGATACGGAATCACAACTATTCATATCATTGAACATTTGATAAGCTTCTTCAATGCTACCACATTTGGCATACATGGTAATTACAGCATTAGCTACAGTGGAATTGGCTTCAAATCCAGCTTTAATAATGCAAGCATGGAGACTCTTCCCCCTTTCTAAGCAAGCTTCTTCAGCTGCTACACTAAGGAACCGTGAATACGTTATGAAATCTAGATTTATACCAGAAGATCTTAACTGACTAAATAAGACCATGGAATCCTCTTCAACATCTTTATGTGGTTCCATAAATCCAACAAGTACTGCATTAAATGAAGTGGTGTTTTTACCTGAAAGGCAATCAAAAACCTGTCTTGCAGATTGAAGGCTCCCACATCTAGCGTACATGTCAATCAATGCAGTGCCAACATTGACGCAAGAGACAAAATCAAGCTTTATGCAAAATGCATGGATCTGACATCCCAATTCCAGATTTCTGCACTCTGAACAGGCATCAAGCACAGTACATAAACAGTTAGAATCAACACAAATACCTCGATCGAGTATTTTTAAGAAAGCATCGAGAGCCATATCATCACGGCCATTTTTAACATACATTGACAGAAGCGCGGTCCAAGAAATTAAATTTCTCTCACCCAATAAATAAAACATTGCCCCAGCTTCTTCAACCATCCGGTGCTTTCCATACATGGTTATTACTGCATTTCCAACAGAAGTTTCACCCATAATACCATATTTGACAGCAAGTCCATGTAATTGCAAGCATTCATCAGCACCCACATCTCCATCGCAAGCGCTAATCAAATTTGTAAAGGTATAATCATATGGCTCTAAGCCAGAACTCAGAAGATCTATAAAGACCCCAATTGCTTTCTCTCCACAGCCTGCCTTCCCATATTCCAAGATCATATAATTTAAACACTGAACATCATTGTAATCCATGTCATTGAACACTTTCTCTGCACCACCCAAGAAGCCACTTCTAGGGTACATAGAAACCAAAGAAGTGGCCGCAAAAACATTCTTCTGAAGCCCACTTTTTACAGCAGAACCATGAACCTGTTCCCCACTTCTCCGGTCTTCAAGTGAACTACATGCCTCCAAAATCACCAAGCATGTATGCTCGTTAAACTTCTCGTTGCTGTGAAACATATCATGTGCAATGTGGAAGACAGATTCAAAGTCACCAATGTCAGAGTATCCCTTTATGAGAGAAGTCCAAGTGATTGTGTTTCTAAGAGGCATTTCATCGAAAAGGTGATGTGCATCATCCAGTCTTTTGAATTTCGAGTACAAGTTGACAAGATTGTTGCCCTGAAATGTGACATTCTGGCAGCCACATTTGAGTAAAAATGCATGAATTGCCTGACCCAGAATGAGATTTTTGGACCCAATTGAGAGTTGGAGGAGCTGAGGCCAATCATTGAAGAGAAATGTGTATTCTCGTTGTTTGAGGAAGGTTGTGCCTTCCAACCTAGTGTATACATAAAGTTGAGATAATCAGATAAAATGATGCATTTTCTAAGCAGAAAATTCAGTAATAACTGTCACTAGCCATAATCAGACAAACAAATGACAGTATTAGCCAAGCCAATGTTCTTTTGGTTTCATACTCCTAATCATTTCACAGCCAGACATGTGCATATTATTATATAAGAGAGCAACAGGACAAGCAATTGTGAGTGTGCAGAGAAATATTATGGGCTGGATGTTCAGGTGCAAGGTCAAATAACGCTCATTATGTGTACAGGGGAATATGTGAGTGTGCAAAGAAATTTCACCTGCAGAAGCAGATGCATATAGTTGGCAACTAATGTTTAAACATTTATGGTATATATTTGTCTATAAATCTAACTATTACATTGTGCACACTTTTGTTGCATAGTATGCTCTAAATATTATCATGCTAGTATCGCTTCTGATTCTACTTTATGCATTTACGTTGAATTGATACAACAACAACAACAACAACAACAAAGCCTTTTCCCACTAAGTGGGGTCGGCTATATGAATCCTAGAACGCCATTGCGCTCGGTTTTGTGTCATGTCCTCCGTTAGATCCAAGTACTTTAAGTCTTTTCTTAGAGCCTCTTCCAAAGTTTTCCTAGGTCTTCCTCTACCCCTTCGGCCCTGAACCTCTGTCCCGTAGTCACATCTTCGAATCGGAGCGTCAGTAGGCCTTCTTTGCAAATGTCCAAATCACCGGAACCGATTTTCTCTCATCTTTCCTTCAATTTCGGCTACTCCTACTTTACCTCGGATATCCTCATTCCCAATCTTATCCTTTCTCGTGTGCCCACACATCCCACGAAGCATCCTCATCCCCGCTACACCCATTTTGTGTACGTGTTGATGCTTCACCGCCCAACATTCTGTGCCATACAACATCGTTGGCCTTATTGCCGTCCTATAAAATTTTCCCTTGAGCTTCAGTGGCATACGACGGTCACACAACACTCCGGATGCACTCTTACACTTCATCCATCCAGCTTGTATTCTATGGTTGAGATCTCCATCTAATTCTCCGTTCTCTTGCAAGATAGATCCTAGGTAGCGAAAACGGTCGCTTTTTGTGATCTTCGCTAGATTGCTCCGGTCATTAGTGTGGATAAGTATATAAATGGATAGAGATAGGAAAGCAAACACAAGATGTACGTGATTCACCCAGATTGGCTACGTTCACGGAATAGAGGAGTTCTCATTAATTGTGAAGGGTTTACACAAGTACATAGGTTCAAGCTCTCCTTTAGTGAGTACAAGTGAATGATCTAGTACAAATGACATTAGGAAATATTGTGGGAGAATGATCTCGTAATCACGAAACTTCTAAGTATCGGAGTGTGGTATCGTCTTGACTTGCCTTATCTGTCTCATAGGTAGATGTGACATCTTCTCTGGAAGTACTCTTCCTCCATCCAAGGGTGGTATCTTTAACTGGTGGAGATGCACAAGGTAATGTATCAATTTCACTTGAAGCTTACTTGTAGTTTCAGGCTTGGTCAAGCGCGATACAAACCATGTAGTAGGAGTCCCCAAGTCGCCGAGCTAGGGGATCTGCTGAAAGAGGTGACAGACAAGGTAAGCAATCAGAGCTCCGGCTGATTGTTCACATTCTCCTTAGCTTGCAGGCAGCATGAAGGATAAAGAGAAGAAAAATGAGAAGAGATGATATGGGATACTTTTGCTTTTGAAGAAGTAACTTTCCACAGGCTTATTCTTGAACTGAGCTGGAGGGTTTTCTGGTTTCCTCCAGAGTATAAGGCCGACTGAAGAATTTGAGGGTCAAAACAAGTCCATCAAATCTAGAGTATGTTCGACCCTGCTGATATGGGATACTTTTGCTTTTGACAGAGTAATGGATGTATCGGCACGTGTGCTGTTACGTTTGTCTCCACATGCTTCCTTGTATCATTCTCACTTGCCCTATTTGTTCCTCAGGCAGATGCGGTATCTTCCCTGGGAGCATAAGATGTTGAAGATGAGTACTCGAGAGCAATACCAGGTAAGTAATCAGGTAAGGGGTTCCAGGCAGTCAGTTCCTGGCTAGAAGCTTGATTCCAAGTGCTGACTGATTGCTCTCTTTCTCCTTGTCTTGCAGGTAAGAACAAGGCCAAAGGAAAAGACAGGGAAAAAGCATGATATGGGATACTCTTGCTTTTAACCCTGATGATATGAGATATTCTTGCTCTAGTATAGCTTGTTTGCAGAGGTATTATCAGGGGGGAAGAAAGCTGAGTATTTCGAAAGGCTTCGTTGGGAGTGCCCTCTCAGATATGAGGAAGGGTTGAGCATTTTTGCAGGTCTGTCTGTCCGTTGGGGATGGAGGTCGACATATATAGGAGTCTCCCTAACAGCAAGTAGTAATGCTATTCCTTTACCCTGCTTGGTCATAGCACGGTAGTGGGAGCTGCCAGCTTCACATGTTTTAACTCTGTCAGAGCACTTTGAAAAAGTGGTCTGTGGTATCTGGAAAGCTGATGTTGCGTGTGAGGATTACAGATAAGCTTTATCCAAGGAGATCCGGCTCTTGAAGTTGGGAAAGTGGTGCCTCTTCGGTTTTCGAACAAGCAATCCTATCGAGAATCTGGCTCTCGAGATTCGGAGAATGATGCCTCTTCGATTTTTGAGAAAGCAATCATGCTGGGGGTCTAGCTCTCGAGATTCGGAGAGCGGTGTCTCTTCGAATTTTGAGAAAGTAATCATGTTGGGAGTCTGGCTCTCGAGATTCGGAGGGCGGTGCCTCTTCGATTTTGGAGCAAGCAATCTTGTTGGGAGTGTTTTCTCGAATGTGAGTAAAGGTTGGGCATGTTTGCTAGTCTACCTTGCCACGAAGCACAGAGGTTGACACACAGGGACTTTCCAATTATCCAGCAATGGTACTGTTCCTTTACCCTCTCTTCGATTTTTGAGAAAGTAGTCATGTTGGGAGTCTGGCTCTCAAGATTCAGAGGATGGTGCCTCTTCGATTTTGGAGCAAGCAATCTTGTTAGGAGTTTTCTCGAATGTGAGTAAAGGTTGGGCATGTTTGCTAGTCTACCTTGCTACGAAGCACAGAGGTTGACACACAGGGACTTTCCAATTATCCAGCAGTGGTACTGTTCCTTTACCCTTGTGGGTAATAATATGGTAGCTAGACCTTCAAAATTTATGTTTCTAAACTTTGTTAGTACTGTTTCTTTGCTATTCTTTTACCCTTCTTGGTTAGAGCGATGTAGTAGGAGCTGCAAGCTTCACGTGCTCAACTTTGGCAGAGAACTTTGGCAAAGTTATCTGTGGTACCCATGAGCTATTGTTGCGTGTGGGAAGTGGGTGATTGAGCAGTAAGATTCATGTGCTTTCTACTTCACCAGAAGTCTTTGACAGAATGCCCATAATTTCCGCAAAGCTGAGTGTGCGTGTGATAGGTGCTGACAAGGCTGGAAAAGTAGGTGCCTCTTCGATTTCTGAGATCGGCCCTCGTCTCTGGCTGAGCTGAGCAGCCCAACTTTTGAGAAAGCGAGCGCCTCTTCGATTTCTGAGATTGGCCTTAGTGGTCTTCGAGCAGCCCAGCTTTTGAGAAAGCAAACGCCTCTTCGATTTCTGAGATCAACCCTCGTGGTCTCTGAGCAACCCAGCTTTTGAGAAAGCAAACGCCTCTTCGATTTCTGAAGCTCCGTCGAGTGCAGATTTTTATAGGGGCTGGCATTAAGTTCTAAAGAACACTTGAAATCCACCAGTAGAAGCTCCATTCTTGCACTTCTAAGATCTTGATTTATCCGACCTCTTCTCTCTTCAACACCTTTGAAAATGTCTGGCCCCTCCGACCGTCGTTTTGACTTGAACCTTGTTGAAGAGGCAGCCCCGTCTTCTCCAGACAACATATGGCGCCCATCCTTCGTCTCCCCTACTGGTCCTCTTACCGTTGGGGATTCCGTAATGAAGAATGATATGACCGCTGCGGTGGTGGCCAGGAACCTTCTCACTCCCAAAGATAACAGACTACTTTCCAAACGGTCTGATGAGTTAGCTGTTAAGGATTCGCTGGCTCTCAGTGTTCAGTGTGCAGGTTCTGTGTCTAATATGGCCCAACGCCTATTTGCTGGAACCCGCCAAGTTGAATCATTGGCGGCTGAAGTGATGAGTCTCAAACAGGAGATTAGAAGGCTCAAGCATGAGAATAAACAGTTGCACCGGCTCGCTCATGACTATGCTACAAACATGAAGAGGAAGCTTGACCAGATGAAGGAGTCTGATGGTCAGGTTTTACTTGATCATCAGAGATTTGTGGGTTTGTTCCAAAGGCATTTATTGCCTTCATCTTCTGGGGCTGTACCGCGTAATGAAGCTCCAAATGATCAACCTTTGATGCCTCCTCCTTCTAGGGTTCTGTCCAGTACTGAGGCTCCGAATGATCCCCCTCCAGTGCCTTCTCTTTCTGGGGCTCTACCGACTGCTGAGACTTCTCCTAAGCAACCTTTGTGAAGGCTACCTCTTGTTTGTTTATTTTGACTTATGTATATGTACATATTTGTAGCTTATCGGGAATATCAATAAATAAGATTTCCTTCATTTCAACGTTTGTGTTAAATACACCAAATCATTCTTCGCTAAGTTCTTTGAATTTTCTTTTGTTGAAGCTTGTATGGAAGCTTTGTGAGTGGAGCATGTAGGTTGAGGTAGTGTTCCCTTAATTTCCCGAGTGAGGAAAACTTCTCGGTTGGAGACTTGGAAAATCCATGTCACTGAGTGGGATCGGCTATATGAATCTTAGAACGCCATTGTGCTCGGTCCTGTGTCATGTCCTTCGTTAGATTCAAGTACTCTAAGTCTTTTCTTAGAGTCTCTTCCAAAGTTTTCCTAGGTCTTCCTCTACCCCTTCGGCCCTGAACCTCTGTCCCATAGTCGCATCTTCTAATCGGAGCGTTAGTAGGCCTTCTTTGCACATGTCCAAACCACCGTAACCGATTTTCTCTCATCTTTCCTTCAATTTCGGCTACTCCTACTTTACCCCGGATATCCTCATTCCTAATCTTTTCCTTTCTCGTGTGCCCACACATCCAACGAAGCATCCTCATCTCCGCTACACCCATTTTGTGTACGTGTTGATGCTTCACCGCCCAACATTCTGTGCCATACAGCATCGCCGGCCTTATTGCCGTCCTATAAAATTTTCCCTTGAGCTTCAGTGGCATACGGCGGTCACACAACACTCCGGATGCACTCTTCCACTTCATCCATCCAGCTTGTATTCTATGGTTGAGATCTCCATCTAATTCTCCGTTCTTTTGCAAGATAGATCCTAGGTAACGAAAACGGTCGCTCTTTGGTATTTCTTGATCTCCGATCCTCACCCCTAACTCGTTTTGGCCTCCATTTGCACTGAACTTGCACTCCATATATTCTGTCTTTGATCGGCTTAGACGAAGACCTTTAGATTCCAACACTTCTCTCCAAAGGTTAAGCTTTGCATTTACCCCTTCCTGAGTTTCATCTATCAACACTATATCGTCTGCGAAAAGCATACACCAAGGAATATCATCTTGAATATGTCCTGTTAACTCATCCATTACCAACGCAAAAAGGTAAGGACTTAAGGATGAGCCTTGATGTAATCCTACAGTTATGGGAAAGCTTTCGGTTTGTCCTTCATGAGTTCTTACGGCAGTCTTTGCTCCTTCATACATATCCTTTATATAGCTTGGATATATGCTACTCGAACTCCTTTCTTCTCTAAAATCCTCCAAAGAATGTCTCTTGGGACCCTATCATACGCTTTTTCCAAATCTATAAAGACCATGTGTAAATCCTTTTTCCCATCTCTATATCTTTCCATCAATCTTCGTAAGAGATAGATTGCCTCCATGGTTGAGCGCCCTGGCATGAACCCGAATTGGTTGTCCGAAACCCGTGTCTCTTGCCTCAATCTATGCTCAATGACTCTCTCCCAGAGCTTCATTGTATGACTCATTAGCTTAATACCCCTATAGTTCATGCAATTTTGTATGTCGCCCTTATTCTTGTAGATAGGCACCAAAGTGCTCGTTCGCCACTCATTTGGCATCTTCTTCGTTTTCAAAATCCTATTGAAAAGGTCAGTGAGCCATGTTATACCTGTCTCTCCCAAAACTTTCCACACTTCGATTGGTATATCGTCTGGGCCTATTGCTTTTCTATGCTTCATCTTCTTCAAAGCTACAACCACTTCTTCCTTCCGGATTCGACGATAAAAAGAGTAGTTTCTACACTCTTCTGAGTTACTCAACTCCCCTAAAGAAGCACTCCTTTCATGTCCTTCATTGAAAAGATTATGAAAAATACCTTTCCATCTGTCTTTAACTGCGTTCTCTGTAGCAAGAACATTTCCATCCTCATCCTTGATGCACCTCACTTGGTTTAGGTCCCTTGTCTTCTTTTCCCTTGCTCTAGCTAGTTTATAGATATCCAACTCTCCTTCTTTGGTATCTAGTCATTTATACATATCGTCGTAAGCTGCTAACTTAGCTTCTCTCACAGCTTTCTTCGCCTCTTGCTTCGCTTTTCTATACCTTTCACCATTTTCATCGGTCCTATCCTTGTATAAGGCTTTACAACATTCCTTCTTAGCCTTCACCTTTGTTTGTACCTCCTCATTCCACCACCAAGATTCCTTTTGGTGTGGGGCAAAGCCCTTGGACTCTCCTAATACCTCTTTTGCTACTTTTCGGATACAACTAGCCATGGAATCCCACATTTGGCTAGCTTCCCCCTCTCTATCCCACACACACTGGGTGATTACTTTCTCTTTGAAAATGGCTTGTTTTTCTTCTTTTAGATTCCACCATCTAGTCCTTGGGCACTTCCAAGTCTTGTTCTTTTGTCTCACTCTTTTGATATGTACATCCATCACCAACAAGCGATGTTGATTAGCCACGCTCTCTCCTGGTATAACTTTGCAATCCTTACAAGTTATACGATCCCCTTCCCTCATTAGAAGAAAATCTATTTGTGTTTTTGACGACCCACTCTTGTAGGTGATCACATGTTCTTCTCTCTTCTTAAAGAAGGTGTTGGCTAAGAAGAGAGATCATATGCCATTGCAAAATCCAAGATAGCTTCCCCATCCTCGTTTCTCTCCCCAAAACCATGGCCACCATGAAAACCTCCATAGTTGCCTGTCTCTCTGCCCACGTGTCCATTTAAATCTCCTCCTATAAATAACTTCTCCGTCTGAGCAATTCCTTGCACCAAGTCTCCAAGATCTTCCCAAAATTTCTCCTTCGAACTCGTATCCAACCCTACTTGAGGTGCGTACGCACTAATCACATTGATAAGTTCTTGTCCTATTACAATCTTGATTGCCATGATTCTATCTCCTACCCTCTTGACATCTACAACATCTTGTACCAAGGTCTTGTCCACGATGATGCCAACACCGTTTCTCGTTCTATTTGTGCCCGAATACCAAAGTTTAAACCCTGAGTTTTCTAGATCCTTTGCCTTACTACCAACCCACTTAGTTTCTTGTAGGCACATAATATTTATCCTTCTCCTCACCATAACTTCCACTACTTCCATAGATTTTCCCGTTAAGGTTCCTATATTCCACGTTCCTAAACGCATTTTGCTCTCTTGAACTCTACCCTTCTGTCCTAGCTTCTTCACCCTCCCCCATCTAATAGGATCAAAGTACTTCTTTTGTGTGTCCCGGGTAAAGTTGATAGGAGCATATGCTCCCAAACAACTTTGAGTGGAGTCGTTCGAAAAGAAGTTTCTATGGCCCCCTTGCTCATTTAACACTGCATCCGGGTGCCGATGGAGATACAGCGACCCTTGCTCACTTATCACTGTGCTCGGGCCACACAGCGCGCCACTTACGGGTGACGCCCTAGCTTTAGCGCGATTTTGTTTTGGATTAATTTTCATAAGGATTCGACGTGATCATGGAGTGCCGGCTGTCGACTACCTGACGCCCTCCCCCTCCTCCTTTATCCAGGCTTGGGACCGGCCATGTAAAACATAGGCGGAGTTTTACGTTGAATTGATGATCAGTTAAAAATGAAAATAAAAGCAGGAAACTTCTACACACCCCACTCCTTGCATATCAAATCTGCCCCACCTTTTGCCAAGAAGCTCAACAAAAGGGCCCGTATGTTCTTCTGGCACCTCCACAGTGGCGATCGCAAGCAATCCAAATGATAGAAATGACTGATATCAGACGACTGGTATGATCCGTAACTCGTAAGGATATTTTCCTCAAGAAAAGAAAAGTTAAGCATTTGGCAATACAGTTTCTATATTTGTAATTTTGTACGAACCACGGCATCACAGTTCTTATGAAAGAAGCACATTTACTATTAGTTTTAAGTAATATGACAATGTGCCTTATTTTGATTCCAATTCGTTCAAAATGGAGCAGACGTATTGGCCTTCAACCGTGACAGTAATTATTTATACCCTCCACTGTTTTCCTAAGCATCAGAAACAATAAAAGTTCAACACAATCACCTCATATGGTTACAAAGGCCCCTCTGAATAGGGATCCTTCCGAGGAGAACTAAAAGGGTGCATCGTTGGTGCCAATTTACAAAATGGTCTGGGCTATCTGAACTGTCTAAATTCTAGACTCCCATCTAAGAATCATCCCTGGAAAAAGAAAAAAAAAATCAGAAAATTTGAAAATTGCTTGCCCATTTGAGTTATCATCATCTATATTTCAGTACTGTGTTCGCCTATTTATTTAATCATAATTAGATAAAGGGATTTCAATTTTGTTGTGTTTTTTAAAAGATCCAGGAAAAGAGAGACCTAACAAGTGAAGATGTTGGATCAACGACTGCAGTGAGGATTGAGCTACATGAGATCCCTCTTGACTTTCATCGAAAGAGACCCCTATTAATACAAAGACTGCACTTTACAAATGCAGATCGTTGTTACGAATATCCTAGACAGGTTCACCTCTTTCGCTTGTTCATACATACACCCTAAGGGAAAAGTTAAGGAATTGGGGAAGTTATCATAGTATGAGACAGTAGACATCTATAGAAATTACATCATAGGCATACCTCACGTCCGACAACCAGTGAAGTGTTTACATCATCTCTGTCAGTAGCAGGTCCAGGTATGTTCCTTATGTCACTTGTCCTCATCAACTTACTCCTCCCTAAGACAATAACCCAGTTCCAATCAGACTAACCTTACCCATTCCCAACCAACACACACACACACCCGATCAACAAATCAAGCAAGAAAACAACCTCTACCGCTACGAGACTATGTCGAAGATAAATTGTGAAACCTATTAGCTCTAAATAAGTAATCGATGCAGTAATCATGAAAAGAACCAACAGAAACATAGAAATGAAAGATTGCAAGAGAAAAAGAAGAAGCAAAAGTACCTACTGCGGTGGCTGCGGCTTCGGTGGCTTCGGAGACGGAGCATTTGATTGGCGGCCGAGCGGAGAAGCGTTTCGGGTTCCGGGAGCGGAGTTTGAGTGTGGTGGTTTTGGCGGTTGAGGAAGAAGGTTAAGGTGAAGACGAAGAGTTGCTTGGAGAGTGGAATAGGAGAGGAAAGTCTAGTAATTCTAGGGTTGTTGGTGTTAGGGTTTGGGAGGGAGAAGGAGGAGCTGTGGAATCTGCAGGTTGCCATCTCCATGGCTCTCAGCCTCTCACTCACTGTCACTGATGAATATTTCAAAAATCCCACAATTAATCCTTTTAGCGCGGGTGGTATTGTTTAATTAGCATGGTTAGGCGCATTCTATTCACTTATAAGTTAAGTAAAATGTTTGATTATCAGCGAATTAGAATCACAGTATTATCAAATTCCTCGTTCTTTAAGCAAAATAAAATTAAAAAAAAAATTATGAAAGAAATTATAATTAAAAAATGAAACTTAAATAATCTAGTACGGAGGATATCTTCTTGCCTCTCGGAGTATTGAAACACTATTACTTGGAAGCATGCCTTCATAGAGGCAAAGTTGATTGCGGATGCAATTACAAATAGTGGTCATGTTATTCAAAATTTATTTTTGTGGAAAAAAAAAGGCCCATACATTTTTGAGTCATTGGAATAGTTGCTGGAATTGTCGGTGTTATAGGTGCGGCGGCCACCGCACTGAGGACGAGGTTCCATTAATTCAAGAAACAGGTGCCTTGGGCGCCAAGGATTTATCAAATTGCCGGTTTGGTAAGTTAATTCAAGTGGTTCGGGGTTAGGCGCCCTATCTGGAGCTTGGTTATCGTCAAATGTCAATCGCTCTAAGCGGACGATAATAGTTGGTTTCATAGTCAGTAGACTTTGTACGACTAAGCTTGATGTATAGTTTGACTCGCATAATCCTCAACTGCTCAAACCATACAACATGTCCTCAACTTGTAATTCCTTGTATCGGTAATTTCATATCTTTTGTTTCCCAAAAAATCAGAGCTCGTTTAGAAAGTGTTTTTCAATAACTAAAAACGTTTTTGAAGAAAATGTTTTTCTTATAACAATCATTTGTAAAAATACAAAGTAATCATGAAAAAGCACATGACTGAAGGCATCAAGGCACCAATCATGGGCTTCTTACGAGAAGCACTTCAAGTGCTTTTGGAACTCAAAAACAATTCTTGAAATGTGCTTTTAATCATTTAAAAGCATTTTTCAAACAAGCCCTTAATTCGAATCCGTATGAATCTCATAACTCACACCAAACAATGACTTTTGATGAAAATATACGTCCCAATTTGTAACATATTTACAATCACAATGAGCTTGTTTTCCAACCTACTCTTTCCCCCACCCAACCCTTACAACAAATACGTTACATGCATCACCATTCACCAAGACACGAACACCCTTGGCCCATGTCCTAGTAATAATCACAAAACGGTCTAAAAACAACGAAAAAAATGGAAAAAGAATTGCATAACACAACAAAAAAAATGAAAGATTGTTTCCTTAATATGCATCTTCCCCACAAGTACCGTGGGTCAATCCTCCAACGTTACGTACTCTCCGATTTACCTTCCAACGATCCATCCCTTATCAATTTCAAACTGAGACTATTGAACCGGTCTCGCGAATACTGCCTTGATGCTTTCCTCCAATCTGTCCCGGCCTTCATCATTGCGGCAAACTCCTCATAACTTATTCGTCCATCCTGCAATCATGGAAAGGATTCAGTCTGGATTCTAGGCAAATACTACAACAAGAAAAATTCAAGGTTTTGATTCATTTGCAGATTTGCAACAAGACTCCCATTAAGATAAAATTAGAAAAATGGTCGATGTGTGTTGGTTATAGATTTAACATGCAATTTGACTGACCTTGTCTGTATCTACGTCAAAAATAATGGCATTGATTACATCTTCAATGTTGTCATCAACTTCATTTCTCAAGGCATTTCGCAACTCTTCAATTTCAATATACCCACTCTGGTTTTGGTCGAAGAATTCAAATGCTTTGCGAAGGTGCTCCTCATCATTGCCCATCCTTCTTAGGTGAACGGAGATGGCTACAAATTCTCCATAGTCCAGATATCCATCGTTATCTACATCACCCTGTTTAAGAGAAAAGAAACCACTCTTATTATCACATGTAGCATTATACGGATCTTTAAAATGTAATGCAATGCAGAGTCATTTAAGCAAGAAGGTTTCAGATTCTTTGAGTTGAACATGCATATAGATTGTTATTAGCCCACAGGTCATAACTAATTAATCCTCTAACATAGCAAACCATACACTAATACAAGATAATACTTACAGCTTCCATCATAATATGAAGATCCCCATCAGGAATCTGATGGCCAAGTTTATGCAAACCAACTCTTAGCTCGTCAATGTTAATCTTGCCCTTGTTGTTAATATCCATGAGCTTAAATCCTTCCTGTATGCCAGCAACTTCTTCCATCGACAAAAACTCAGCTATAACCTGTTAATTTAAAAATTCCAAAAGAACCAAAAGAAACCATTAGTAACTGAGGACACATACATATCACACGTACAATAGAACACAGAAATCAGATGAAAGGTTATGAAAAAAATTATCAAACATAAATCTTTGGAAGACTACCTTGAGCGCACTTTTCTTGAGCTTGTTCATGATAGAGAATTGCTTGAGCCTTGACCGAACAGTTTCACCTAAAGAAACATTTGGAGCTTTCTTTGCATTTTGCAACCAAGGATGATCTGCACTCAAAGAAGCAAGAATAAGATGTACGTTCATAATATTATGTTTTGCACTTTCCAAATTCTTCAAGCAACAAAAGTCTCTTTATAATGATAAACAATAATGATAACCGTCAGCAGAACTGACATTACCTAGAACTTCTTGAGCTGTAAGCCTCCGCTTTGGATCAGGATTAAGCATCTTCTTCACAAGGTCTTTCGCATTATCAGAAACCATAGGCCAGGGGTCCCTCTTAAAATCTACAACAGACCGGATAATTGCTTGTGCAACTCCTTGTTCAGTTTCTGCACAGCAAGATAATAGATTCAAGTCAGAAATTGTCAGAGATGCTAACATAGGAAAGCCAGCAGGTAAATCAGAATTCGATAGAAGAAAAGTAAGCAATTCATTTCAATGGGTCTGAAATCCAAAATGGTGACGTTTAAATAGACACGCACATATACAAACACACACAAACCTGCCCAAAATGGTGGAACACCACAAAGTAAGATATATAGTATAACTCCAGCACTCCACACATCAACTTCAGGACCATAGTTGCGTTTAAGCACCTCAGGAGCCATGTAATAGGGACTTCCAACAATTTCACTAAATACTTCACCTGGAAACACATGAAATAAAAAATTATTAGTAAACTAATCAGAGAAATAAAAAATTATTAGTAAACTAATCAGAGCAAGAACAATCAAATGTCAATAGTTTTGGAGAGGACTTTACCAGGTTTAAAGAACACGGACAACCCAAAATCAATTGCCTTTAAAGGTGCTGTTTCCTTCTTGTTTCCAAATAAAAAGTTCTCGGGTTTGAGATCCCGATGCATCACACCGTGCTTGTGGCACATCTGCAAGAGAATTAAACACATTAAAATCATGCCAGTGCATGTAAACCTATCATAAGGTTGATTCCTCAAAGAATAATCTTGGGGAACAAAAAATCTATTCTATACACACAAAATGTCAAAAGAATCAATTCACCACAATTCGACAATTGCAATTTGACCACCAAAAGCTAGCTTAACTGATATACAATGAAAATGGAATATACTCGTCAAAGAATTAAACAAATGATCAAAATTTCAATCAGATCTAGATTTAATCAAAGTCTATCACTAGTAAAATACCCTCAGAAGATCCAATCAATCACCAATCCAACAGATCACAAAAAACCACCAAAACCCTCACCTGAACAACTTCAACAATCGTCTTCGTGACAGCGGCAGCCGCACGCTCTGTGTAGTGGCCTCTGGACACGATTCGATCGAAGAGCTCACCACCCTCACAGAGCTCCATAACAAGATGGACAGCATGGTCATCCTCATAGGTGTCTTTCAAGGTCACTATGTTGGGATGCTTAGGCAAATGCTTCATGATCTCAACTTCTCTCCTCACATCCTCTATATCCACAGCTGTCTTCAGCTTCTTCTTCGAAATCGATTTACATGCAAACGTCTCGCCGGAGTCCTTATCGGTGCAAAGGTAGGTAATTCCGAACTCTCCGCGGCCGAGCTCCCTACCCAGTTCGTATCTCTGCTCGATTTCAACGCCAGTTGGGTCTTTCAGCACAGAGAGCTTGGAGCCACCATTTCCATGGCCGGCAACGTAGTTAATCGCAAATGGATTCTTCCTGTTCTTCTTGTCCTTCAACGGCGAACCCGTCTGGGGGGTCACACAGCAATTACCCATCTGTGAAAGATCGGTCTCGGAGCCACAATCGTGTCAGAATTCGAATCGAAAACTCGAGATCTGAGGTTTTAGGGCAAAATCAAGAGATGGGTTTTTGAGTTCAAGATCCGAATTGCTATGTAGCCCAATTGAATTGAGAAAATTTTTGGAAGATGACCAGAATTTGAAACGAGAGATGGGATTTAAGGAAATGGGGAGAGAGGGTTTTGGGGTTTGGAATTGAAGAAGAAGATGAGAAGGGGAATTTCAGCGCGTGAGAGCCACCATTTGGAGGATTGGTGGAATATAGATAGAAAGACAGAGAAAGGGTCCAGCCTCTATCGCAGAGACTTCCCTCCTAACCCTATTTCTCTCTCTAGATCCTCTCTCTCTCTCTCTCTCTCTCTCTCCCTCCTTCTCTCTCTAGCCTCTCTATCTCTTTCTCTCTCTTAATACATTACACAGTAGAATAGGCAGAGAGAGAGAGAAGACGAGGTCCAGATTCCGGAAGGGGAGAGATTTGTTGTTTCCTAAATTATTGTAAACAAAATTAATATTATCTCAAACAATGCCCCTAACCAGTTATCATAATTACAAAATGGTACTATTATTCTTTTAGATGATGCTAGAGATACCATACCAATAAACGCGATGAAATATTGTTTTGATAGACCAAATTACCCTACAGAGTTTTCTTTTTCTTTTTCTTTTTCTTTTTCTTTTTTGGCCAGATGTACGGAGTTTAAATTATGCAATATTTTACTCGCTCTCACTAAGTTTCTGGTTGGCTTCTAGAAGGTCTTCTGTGGATAAGCATAACCAATTGTATTGAGCCATGACTTCATAAACTATCAGTATTTTCCTTTTTCTTTTTGGGACGTT